TGCCTCCTAGCAGCATAGTCAGTTAGGAACTTCAGTGGATTTGTCATCCACTGGTGAGTATACCATTCCATGATCCATTCACCTCTCCCGAAGTCTCTTCATGTAATCAAGTTGACAATTAAGCTTAACCATCACATTGCACATTTTGGTGTATAAATTGAGTTCAGAAAAAAAGAGAAGGGCTCTGTGTATATGTGTGTGTGTGTGTGTGTGTGTGTGTGTGTTGACAAAATAAAGCTGCAGCCAACCCACGAAGGACACATGAGGAATACATCTTTATTGTCATGTAAGACATGACAACAAAGTCAACCCTCTTTATCAGCGGGTTCTGCATCAATGGATTCAACCAACCACAGATAGAAAATATTAGAAAACAAAATTGTGTCTGTAGTAAAAAAATCTACAGACATTTTTCTTGTCCTTGTCTCCTAAACAATACAGTAGAACAACTATTTACATTGTATTTGCATTATATTGGGTATTAAAAGTAACCTAGAGATGAAAATATACAGGAGGATGTGCATGGGTTCTATGCAAATTTTATGAAAGACTTGAGTGTCCTTAAATTTTGGTGGGGCGGGGGGTCCTGGAAGCAGTTCCTGTGGATGCTAAGGGACCACTGTATGTATCTGTCAGCTTTGGCTCTGTTACTGTGTGATTACAAACAACCTAAACATCTCAGTGCCTTCCATGACAGTAAAGATGTATTCTTCTAGTTATGTGAAGAACTTTAGCTGTATTTTCATGAGGATTCCTTTAAATCTGTACATTGCTTTTGGTAATGTGACCACTTTGATGATATTAATTCTGCCTATCAAGGAATAGTGATGTCTTTCACTTTATACTGTCCTCTTCAATTTCTTCTGAGTTCTGTAGTTTTCATTATAAAAGTCTTTCACCTTTTGAGGGGAGGATAGGTAAACTCCTAGGTATTTAATTTGTTTAAGCTAGTGTGAATGGAATTACAGCCCTAATTTCTTTCTCAGTGGGTTTTTATTGGTGTACAAGAAAACTATTGATTGTTGTGTGATGATTTTATAGCCTGCCACTTTGCTGAATTTGTTTATCTGCTCTAAGAGTCTTCTAATAGAGCTTTTTTAAAGGTCTTCTGTGTAAAGGATCATATCATCTTCAAATAGAAGTAATTTGACTTCTTCCATTCCTATGTGTATCCTTTTTGTTTCTTTCTCTTGCCTGATTGCTCTGTGTAATGTTTTGAGTACTCTGTTGAACAGGAGTAGTGAGAATGGACACAATCCTAAAATTTATGTGGAACCAGAAGAGATCCAGAATAACTAAAGGGATTCTAAGCAAAAAGAGCAATGTGGGAGGACTCACAGCTCTGCACTTCAAGTTATAATGCACTAAAAAGCTACAGTAACAACAACAACAAAAAACCATGAATAATATCAGCACAAAAATAGATATGTAGACCAATGGAACAGAACAGGAAATTTCATGCACCTTCAGCCATCAGATTTTTGACAAAGAGGTCAAAAACATACATAGGAGAAAAGACAGCCTCTTTAATGTATGGTGCTGGGAAAGCTGATTATCCACAGGCAGAAGATGGAAAGTAGATCCGTATCTCTCACTTTGTATTACCATCAACACAAAAGACCTAAATATAAAAACAGAAGCTTTGAAACTGCTGGAAGATAATGTAGGGGAAACCCTTGAAGCCATAGGCACAGGAAAGAACTTTCTAAACAGAATTCTCATAACACAAGAAATAATATCAAGAATCAATGGATTACATGGAACTAAAAAGCTTCTGCATAGTGAAGGAAACAATCAACAGAGTGAGGAGACAGTTGGTAAAATGGGAAAAATATTTTGCCAGCTACTTTTCTGATAGAAGGATAATATCTAGAATATATATTTTTAAAACTATTTTTAAAAACCAGAAAACAAATGAAAAACAATTAAAAACTTGGCAAATGAACTGAGTACACTTCTCAAAAGAAGTAAAAATGGCCAGTAAGTACATGAAAAAGTGTTGATCATCTTTAGTCACTAGGGAAATGTAAATCAAAACAACTTTGAGATTCTATATTACCTGAGTCAAAATGGCTATCATCAAGAACATAAAAAGCAACAAATGCATGTGAGGATATGGAGGAAAGGAACCCTTCTACTGTGAAAATCCGTATGAGATTTCTTAGAAAACTAAAAATAGAAATTCCATTTGATCCAGCTATATCTGTCCTGGGTTATCTTCCCAAATAAATTAAAGACATCATACTATAGTGATACATGCACACCCTGTTTATAGCAGCACAATTCACAATAGCTAAGCTCTGGAATCAGCCCAGATGTCCATCAACAAATGGTGGGTAAAGAAAATATGGTATATAGATGCAATAAAATATTATTAACCTGTAAAGAATAAAATGTGTCATTTTCAGAAAAATGAATGGAACTCGAGATCATAATTTCAAGTGAAATAAGTCAAACACGGAAAGTTAGATATTCGATAGTTTTTCTTACATGAGAAACCTAAAATATAAATAAGTAAGAGGGTAGAATAAAGAAGAGATGGTAGAAAACAAAAAGGCAGACTTTTTGGAGATGAGGAAGAAGATCAGGGGAAAGGAGAGAGGTTAGAGAGGGGGCAAAGATGTAAAAAGTGATCAAGATATGTTATGTACAATTACCAACTCCCCAGAACAAGTACATCTATTGTGTACCACAAAGATACACTAATAAAGTAAAATACAATGAAAATAGAGAGCTCGGAGAAGTTTTACACTTGAGCAGTTACATGAAAATATTATTATAGATCACAAAATTATTACTCAGATGACTTGTTGAACAAAACCAAAATGTGAAGGAATCTCGCTTCATTATGATGTTTGTCTCATAACTGTGCAAACTGTTAAATCTTGGGTTAGTAGACTGAAAAAAAAAGATCTACTTCTCACATGTTCTTCATAGGGTGACTGGAGCTCTACTTTGTGTGTCGTGCTTCCAGGACCCATGATGAAGGAATAGCCTTTACCTGGGATGTGCTGGCCTCCAGAAGGAGGAAGAGACAGAAAGATGGCAAAGCCACACAGAGGCGCTTAATCAAACTTCAATCATCCAAATCAAACTTTTAAAGATGAAAAAAACTGATTAAAACATAGTACGTAATGGCACACTAACAATTCCAAAAGAAACCACTTTTAAAGACAGAAATAAAAACTATCAATAAAAGGAAAATTTTTAAATCAGAAAAGCATCAGTGGGGTCGGGGATTTAGCTCAGTGGTTTCGCCACCTGCTAAGCAAGCGCAAGGACCCGAGTTCGATCCCTGGTTCCAAAAAAAAAGCATCAGTGAATGGTGGGCCAACTTCCAACAGTCTGATAGACATCTAATTAGAGCCCCCAGAGAGATGAGACAGAAGAAATATATGAAGAAATAGCTACCAGAAATTTTCCAACTTGATTAAAACTGTAAACCAAGAGATCCAAGAATTGCAGTAAACCCCAAACATTAAAATCTCTACCAAGGCATACTGTAATCTTATTTCTCAAAATCAGTGGTTAGGCAGAGGTTACAAAGAAGCTCAAGGGAATTTTCCAAGGTGTTGGATGTATTCATTTTCTTGAACATAACCATAGTTTTCCCAGGTGTGTGTGTCTGTGTGTGTTTGTGTGTTCATGTTGATAGATATTTGATATATTATGTGAGTGATAAGTGAAAAGCTTCCAGTTGTACACTGTAAATATTCATAGTTTATTGTATGTCAGTGATATCCTCAATAAAGCTAATCAATTAAAAATAAGCAATAACCCAACCCTAGGTGCACGTGTGAAAACCTGAGGCACTTTATAAAACACACATCCTCAGCCTCAGAGGTTCAAATCAGTTAGTCTGAAATGGAACTCAGTTATCTGTATTTTTTAAAATTTGGCAGATAGTTCTTTTTGGCAAGCTTTTTCTGAATCATACTCCAGGCAGGAAACTGCAGAAACTTCCTGTTAACCTGATTAGTAGTTAATGACCTTTATTCTGATTAAGTAGCTTTCTACTTCCGGGATATGGTTTATTGACGTATGATGTTAATATCCTTGAGTTCTGAGGTTTCTATGCCTGATATTTTTACTAATGGGCATATAATACCTTATTTCATTAAAAGATGGAATTCTGATACCTCATTCCTTGTTTTCTAAACTTTGTAGGGTCCTCTTAGAACATTAACATCAGATATCTCCCAAACCTCACAAGATCATGCTCCAACCAGATCCTTTGATTTTTTTAGTCATTAAGAAATGAGTCCTTAGAAGTACATCGTTGGTGTTGTAGTTCAGAAAGGAACAAAGCTAGCCACCTGAGGTCTTCTAACCCCTACTTGAAGAAGCACATTACAGCTTTCTCTTGATTTTTTTATTTGTTCATACCTTAGCATTTACTTACCCTACTGTGTTGCTTTCCTGCTTAAAGCCATCCTTTGCCCCAGTGAAACCTTTAGAAGGAATCTAGCCTGCCTAATATATCCTCCAATGTGTGCTTCTACAAGCTCTAATGCATGCCTGCCTCCCTGGATCACTACTCACTGCCTTGATCTCTGAGTTCCAGTCATACTGAACTTTCATTTCTGTATTGATTCACCTGCTAACTCACTCCCCAAGCCTATGCAACTTCTTTTCCCTTTGCCTGAAATACTGTCCCGACTCCTCCTGGCTTGGCTTTCTTCTCCTTCTTCAGGTCTGAAATTTCAGGGGTCATATTTTGCTTTAGGGAGTTAGGGAAGGCTCTGTGTATCTCCTCTACCCCTGCAGTTATTGTTCTGGTCATACTGTTTGTTCATTTCTTTTATCCCCAACTTGACTATAAACCTGAGGACAGAAACTAATGCTAGCATCCAGCATAGGACTGGCCCATAGTCAATGTTTAGTAAATTTGTGCCAAATTGAATGTACTCTACAAAACAAAACAAAACAAAAAAAACGTACCTAATGAAACCCAGCCCTTTTTCAAACCTCATATTTCTGATTACAAATCATCAATCCAGGTCCTGGAAGTTATCACTGAAGTTTAGCCATGGTACCTTCATACTGGAAAGACTTGATGACCTTGCAACACTAAGGTTTTCACAGGTAACTTAAACTTTGCACATTACTGTATACTGGGGTTGGGGGAATGAAATTCTTTTCCATTGTTTTCACATGAGGGAAAGCAAACAACTTGAAAATTTTAGGAAATGGGGAAATCTGTAAAATTTTGTTTAATTAGAATAATATAAGCCCGGGGAGTATCTGGAAAAATAGTTTATGTGTCAGGAAACCCATTTTAAAGAATAATGGAAAGCAAAGCAGAAGTTGTCCTTAAACAGAAAAAGTTTAGGTTCCTGTGGTAGGGAAATTAGTCAAAATCTGTCCTGCAGTTTTAGAACAGGGACACTCTTTACTTTGTAGATAAAGTTTTGTTGGAACACAGCCACGCCAGTTTGTTTAAGTAGAGGCTATGAGCATTTTCATACTACAATTGCAGAGTTGAGTAGTCCCAGGAAAAGGGACCCTATATGGCCTGCAAATCCTAAAATATAGTTGCCCTCTCTATCTGCAGGTTCAACCAACTTTAGGTCAAAATATTTGAAAAAAGATTTCATGTGTACTGAACAGTATATGCATAGCATTATCCCCTAAACAATACAGTACAATAATTATTTATAGAACATTTTCATTGTATTAGGTATTATAAATAATCTAGAGATATTTTAAAGCATACAGAAGGATGTTCAGAGATTGTATGCAAATATTATATCATTTTGTATAAAAGATTTGAACTACCATGGATTCTGGTACTTGTAGGGGGTCCTCAAACCAATGCCCTGTGGTACAGAGGGATGACTGCATTTAGTATTGGCACTTTACAGTAGCTGATCCTCAGGCTAGCAAATGAAGAAAGCTGTTCACACTGACTCAGAATTACTTAAGGAGCTCTGTAGCGTGTGAGCACAGTGCTGACACATAGGTAACCCAGATATATGTTGGCTGTGACTGATACTATAGTGGACTGATGAGGACTGATGAGCAGATACCACATAAAACTCCAGCCCTGCTACAGAAAACAAGAACACAGATGTGCTTGACATTTGGAATCCTTTAAGCAAAGACCAAGTATGGAGAAAATAGTTCATGTTGGTGAAAGTTGGTGCTTTCTCTAGCTCTTCAGGAATGTTTCTATCATTTTGGTTTCTCTCACTGAAGAGAAAAGTATGGCAGGCAAAGCTCCATTTGTGGTTAGTCAGTATTTCATCCAAGATCTTCCCCCAGAAGACGTGGCAGGCTTTTAAGAAATCTTGGGTGTGGGGTTCACTTTTATTTGAAAAATATTCTAAAAACAAATAGAAAGGTTCATTTTGTCTGCTTGTAGTGCACACGTTTGTTTGCTCACAGGCATGAATCATCAGTCTCTTCACTGTGGGAAAGGAACTCAAATTAGCAATGAGAGGTAGAATATTGATTCTTCTGTTTCTCTTTGCATGAATACAAACTCCAAAAGGGGAGACGTTTTTATCTAGTATAGTCAGTGATTCCCTGATGCTGAAAACAGTAATAAGCTATTGTAATTCAACCCTGTTTTAAATCAATTTATATTTGTGTTAATCACAACATATTTATCTCTTAAAATGGTCATATATATGAAGAAGAGACAAATTATTTGGGAGCTGGCTGTATTTATTCCATATATAATATAGATCATTTACCAAACACCCATAACAATCATGAGCCCCTGGGAGTCCATGTCCTGAAGGTTCAAAGTTGTAAGTCAACCCAACCAAGGAAACTAGGGAATAAAGGCATTCTTCAGTTAGCCTAGGGTCTTAACCTAATTAATATCTAACAAAGAACAAGGCCAAAGACTGGTGTCTTCTAAATCCCATCCCAGTGCTATTTTAGTGGTCACTGAAGATATATCGCCATAGACTTCCTAAAGGTTATTTCTTAGCAACCCGATGCAAGCTCCAACCTGAATGTGAGTAAAGGCCTTGTCGTGACCTTATCTCATATCTGATGGAATACAGGAGGGCAGTTAGGACATGTCAGGCTCAGGGCCAGCTTCAAGGTGTAAAACCTGTGCAGCCTCACAGGACTCCACTCCATGCTAGAAAGGCTGTGCTTGATTTACTGTCCTGCTATCACCTAGTTGAAGCTTTTAATTTTCATAAAAGAGCATTTTGTACCAGGCCCCATGAAATGTGTAACCAATACTATGTGGGCAGGACAATTTCAGTCTAACTTCATTTTATTTCTAGCTTGCTAGAATCCCATGGTAGGCAGAATAGGTAGGAAGGAGATGTAGCCTTCATTGTGCTCCTTAGGATCTGATGGACCAGCAGCTGCAGGGTGAGGGCTAACAGTAAATCCAGGCTGGGCCTGGTAAGAGCCTCAGGTTCAAAAGAGGAGGCCCTCACTCTCAGAGTTCAAAAGAAGGTCAGCACTGGAGGGTGAGTGGCTCAAGCTTTGTCCCTCAGCCTAGTCTTTCCTGTAGTGTACCTGCAGACACCTACGCACCTGCAGTCCACCTGCATTCTGCTTTGGCTCTCTGTATGTGCCTCCATGGGCAATGGATTTTCAACAGCCAGATCAGATGGTACACAGAAACCTGCCCTAGGGACGTTCTCTTAGTTGTTTTTTTTTTAAGTGTTCTTTATTTGTTCAGTCTGTGTTGAAGGAGAATTATATTTCCCCTTTCTCTGTGAGACTCGACATGGTTGGCTGGTGCCTGCTGTACTGTGTAAATGAAATCTGATATAAGGCTGAATTGTCAATAGCATGAAACATTTTATAGGCAGATCAAAAGCACAGATGGCAGTTGTGGTCACATCCATTGTGTCTCACTGTAAGAGCAGTGTGTAGCAGGTGGAAAGAAGTTGGAAAAGCCTGGTTCTCATCCTCATTTCCCAGATAACCTCAGGCAACACTGCTCAGCCTCAGTTTTCTCACCTGTGAAATAGGGATCATAAAGCTATCTCTGTCTCGCATGGCTTTTGAGGGAGAATCGGTGAATTAGTGTGTCATAATGTGTTTTGCAAATCGTAAAATGCTAGCTAGTTTTTGACACTGTTCAGTTTTAAGAGGTAAATTGTTCTACCGGATGAGAACAATTCTGAGTTGCCACCTGCTATCTGTTATCTGTTGCACAAAATCACACAATATGAGTTAGGCCTTGGAACAGAAGGAGAAGAAGAAACTGACAAAGTCAAGGTCAGCCAGATGAGAGGAGAGAGGAGGGGCCTGCTGAAGTTGAGGCACCATGTGGGATAGATTTGTGTTCCAGAGAGGGACATATCCCCACCCCAGTCCCACCAATGACTCTCCTTTTTTCATAGGGCAAGTGTGACTGCAGTTTTGCTAGTAGGGAGATAATGAAACTACTTTGGCACTGGGAAGCCTGTGTGTGGATGACAGGTGTTTGGAGGAATTATGTAGGAACAAAGCTGGGGAAGGATACCACTCGTCCCATGAGAAGAGGAGATTGAACACATTTGTTGTAGTCAGGGTTTGCAAGAGAATAAATTTAATACAGGACACATATTTATAGGATTATTTTATAATATATTCATCCAAAAAATTAAACGCAGAGGAGTGCAAGAGATCTGTCCACAAACCAGAGACCCAAAGAATCCAGTCAGGGGCCTGGATCCCACGGCAATGTCCCGCATGAGTCCAGCTAAGGGCTTAGAGCCCAAGGCAGTGTCCTCCATGAGTCCAGCCAGAGGTCTAAAGCCCATGGCAATGTCTTATGCAAGTCCGTATCGAGGATCTGCACTGGGAAGGCCCAAAGGCCAGTGGTGGAAGCCAGAAAGCGTGTGCCAGTGGATGAAGCCTCTGTGCTACCAGACTGAGGGATCTGCACTGGAGCCAGGAAGTGACTCTCAAGGCTAAGACCAAAGCTCCCCTGATGAGAACAGCAGCTATTTCCAGCAGCAGGGAGGACCCGAGCTCCTCCAACCAAGAGAATGGCCAAGTTTGCATCAGAAAAACCAGCCTCGGCAAGCTTCTCCAAGAAGATTAACAGCAAACAATCTTCCCATCCAGGTCTCTTTTTATGCCATTGGCAACAATCCTCAGATGGGCCTTCCACACCCAGAACCATGCTGACTGGGCTCAGCTGGGCCTTCCAAGTTGACCATTAGTTAATCTACCACAACATTCCTCTAACTGTGAGTTAGGATCCCTATCTCCGTAGCTCTCTAACCTCATGATCTGGGTGAGCAGCTAGGATTATTTCAGACAGTCCTTGTACTTCTGGAGGATCATTACATTTGAGAAACAGAGACCATCATAACCATGGTGTTAAAACCTAGCTAGGTCATGCCAGAGTTTCTTGACAGTTGGTTTAGATTTGATAAAGAGATCAAGGTTTGCTCAGACTAAATCTAAATCCATCCATTATTGAGCTATTATAAGGGGATTCTATTTTTAAAGATTCACTGGGTTCTTTTGAGTTAAAAGTAATCACAGCCTATTCCTCTAATAACCTTTGTGCTTGATTTTCCATAATTGGTGTTGAAACATTGCACATCCTGCTCATTGTTTTTTATTCATCCTTTTCCTCCCAGCATGGTTTCCTACTCCTGAGCCTCAAATCTCTGCATCAGTAGGTACAGGATCCAGTTGTGGGGACAGAATAGGGAGGAACCACAGGAGACAAATAATTACAATATAAAATTTTCACAAAATGCTCTAGATGATTAGTAATGGCACAATTAATTTTATCAAGGACAAGGTTGTGGGACACATCAAAAAGGAGATGTCATTTGAACTGTATTATTAAAGATAAGTAGGATGTTTTGGGGCACAGGAGGATAAACTAGGTAGAGATGTGGAACTTCAGATGGGACAGTATATGTGAAGAGTTTAGAGAACTGTGGCACAGAGTAGGTGCTCCATAAATATTAGTAGTACTGGTAGTTATTATATAGTCAAGGAATTTCAAACACCTGCTATGGCTAGAATACAGGAAGTGAAGGAATGGAAAAGAAACTGAAAATGTGGCTTGAGATCAGTGTGCGTGCGTGTGTGTTTGTGTGTGTGTGTGATAAACCTTAGGTAGCATGTTACAGGAGTTAGATTTTTTTATTTGCACTACATTTGAGCCAAGTAATCTATAGCTATCAGTGTCCCAGTGAGGGTGGGCTTGTGATTAGGTTGCAATAACAAATAATCCCCAAATGTCAGGGGCTTAAAGCATAAACACAGTTCATTCTTATCCTTGTTCCATGCCCCTCACAAGATGCCTGTGATCTTTGTGCAGCATTGACCTCTTTTTATGGCCTGGTCCCAAAGAGATACCCAACACTATTTCATTTCATTAGCCAAAACAAGTCACAAGGCCACACCTAGCATTAAGCAATCCAGAGAAGTAATGGTGATTATGTGACTCTGTGCATTTGTCTAAACTCATGAAACTGAATGCTTAAAATGAGTTAATTGGCTCTAAATTATACATTCACAAGTCTGACTTTAAAAAACACCAAAGCATATTTTTAAGCAGCTAGGTTTTTAAAATTACCAAATTCGTAATTTAAATAGCCACTTAAGATATTATTCGATTGTTAAAAATTAATTTTCTGGATCCTCAGAGATAAGTTATGCCCTGTGATGTGCTGCTAGAAATGTTTTCCTTCCAGGGCAAGGTGGATCCTGATATGTTTCATTTGCCTATTTCCATGGTGTTAATTCTCCCACCTGGCTGATTTCAAGCCACCAGTGTGATGTTACTGAGTTAAGCTAGGAGCATTAGAAGCCAATCTTGCACCAACTGAAAATGTTCCATAATTATATTATACTAAGTGCAAGGTCATGAGCATCCTCATGATGTTCCAAGATTGTGCACATCCCCAATTTGCTAGTAATGTGGGATTAGCACAATATAAATTCACACAAAATGCGCTAGGAGGGCTAGGGCTGTAGCTTATTGGCAGAGCACTTGCTTAGATGCTCAAGGCCCTGATTCAGTTCCCAGCATTAGGAAAAAAAGCTATGGGAGCATAGTGGTGAAGCAATTAATGTTATCAGGTAAATTTAAATTTGTTAATTGTTATTATATATCAGATAGCACAGCTTTGAAAAGTACCCCAATAGAATCCATAAATTTAATCCAATAGAATCTACAAATTTAAAGGTAGACAGGGCCTTAGGTATCAGCTAGTCACTTCACAACCGAGGACACCTAGACAGGTGAAAGACATACCCCTCAGGTGGCAGGACTGGGACCAGAACCCAGCTCTCCTGACTTCCCACTTCATTATCTGTGCGTAGTATTCCCCAGCACAAAGAAGCTGTGGGGTTCCAGGTTTTTCAATGTGTACTGTTGTCCCCAGCCCTCTTTCAGATATCCTTCTTACAAGTGTTATTTTTCTAAGGTCAAAACATTCTGCTAAGCCAGGCCTGCGGTGAGCAAGTATCTGGCGGAGGCTGGGGGAGGGATGGCGGAGCAGGTGATATTTGATAACTGCTGGCCCTAAACAATGCATTTTGCCCTGAAGACAAAGAGGATAACCTGGCACCCTGTCTGATGACTGTACTTTACCACCAGCCCACATTTTCAGGGGCTCCTGGGCCTGCAGTGCTCTAGTCTTTCCCTGCCCCCAGCACACCCTATATTAAGAAGAACAGCAGCAGCCATTGAACCACTAAGCATTGTCACATCTCAGCCAAATTTGGGGGGGCTGAGAAGTGTCCTTGGGAGAAGGAGTCTGTCCTGAAGGTCTGAGGGTAGAGTCAAAACCCAGTAATAATAATAATTCTATCATATAATTATTGTTTGGGGCCCAACCCAGCTATGTCCCCAGATATGTTTCATACTTGTGTGACTCTGGTCATTCATTTTTAAAGGCTTTTTTCTTCTTTCTTCTTTTCTTCTTCAATCTAACAAATTCTTGCTCTTCCTTCAAGGCCCATCTCAATGTCACTTCTTTGAAGATTCTTTCTGACCTTGACCTTGGAGTAACTCCCACTGGCTTCTCTGAGTTTATTGCTTCTTCTATCGTGTTCCCAGAACACTTTGAACCTACCTTTACTGCTCCCAAAGCACAGAGTATTTTGTGAATATTTGTTCAGATGTCTATCTTCTCCACTAGGGCAAATATTTGGTCCTTGAAGTCAAGGCCCATGTGCTAGTCATATTTAGTTTCCTGCATCCACCATACTGCCTGGCCTGGTTCAGGGGGACAGAGAAGGAGGGACAGAGAGAGAGACAGAGACACAGAGAGATAGAGAGATGAAAAGAGAGACCCCTCGGGATTAACAGCAAAGTGAAGGAAAAGTGGAGTTCCAGAGCCTGTTGGTGCCCCTGCTTACCAAATGACTGTGTAACAACCCCCAGGTTATAATCTCTCAAGTTTACTATGCATGCCCATGGACAATTTGTTTAAAATGCAATTTGCTGCCCGCCCCCCTTCCTGCCATCCCAATTTCTAGATGTGTGGCATGGCTCAGACATCTTTGTAGCCATACACCTTCTGCCTTCTGGGTGATGTTCTGAGCCAGGTGATCTGCTGAAGACTTTGAGATGCATTGATCCCAGCCAGGTGGTTCTGGGAATGCAGGGGTTTGGAGGGTTGGGGGTGCAGACTGACGCGCTGCTCCCCGTGTGGGCTGTAGAGGGAGCTCTGCAGTCTGCCTGCCTCTCCCCAAGCACAGAGCTGGAAGATGCTTCTGGCATCATCCTTCATCTCCCCCGCTGCCAGCCCAACCCCTGTCCACCTCGCTGAGGCCACAGTCGCACAGAAGCCCTCTGGTAGGCCTCTTTTCTAGGGTGTCTGACAGACAGACCTCTGTTGGTCCGGTTATTCTGGGCGGTGGAGTAGCCACTCAAGGTCTGGCACTAGCCCTGGCCTGAGCTCCAAATGCAGGACAGCAGTCATGGACCTGGAGACTTCCAGCAAAGGCAGTGACAGCAGCCCAGGCCACTGTCAGAGCAGACCCTTGCTGACCACAGGCCCCTCCAGGCTGTCCACCTTGTGCTGGCCTCTGCAGTAACACTGCTGCCACACACCAAGCCTTCCACATGCACAGTGCAGTCACCTGTGTCCTCCCAGCTGAAGAATAACCTCCTCAGAACACACCGTTCCTGCCTTGTCACCCACCCACCCTCTTCTCCGCAAGCCTCGCGCAATGGGTCTCAGAACTGAACTCCAGCACCATTCTGAACAAGCGCTAAGCAATCCCTGTCACACTCACTCCTGTAACAAAGTATGTTTGTTTCCCAGAAGATGATCGTTTTCTATTCCTACTCATTCTCTTACTATAATTATACTCACATGGGGTCTAATAGATTTTAATTTCACCCTGAGGTTGCTCCAGGTTACAATGCTGAGCCTCCAGCCCTGGAGAACTCTCTCCCTTTATTTAGCATTTAAATGAGTATCCAGAGGGAAACAAGGGAAGTAATTAGAAGGAGAAACCCAGTAGGGAAAGGGGCAGGTTCTGAAGCATTCAGACATCCTGATGCAGAGGTGCTCAATTCTAATTCAGTGCTAGGGAGGTGAGCTGGCCGCCTGGAGCAAGATGCGCTGGCTGGCGAGGAATCCAGTGGCTGCACGGTGTCCGGTGCTGGCCCAGTCTCAATGCACACTTGCCTGCAAGTCTGCAGCCTCTGTTTATGCATTAGCACATATTTTTGAAGTCTTACACATTACTTTACTTGAAATTTGTGCATAAATGGCAATAATATTACAATTTCAATTGTGTTCTTTTTCTATAACAACTTTAGTGTTTGTCTTGTTATCTTTTAGAGTCTCTATCCCTGTTCTATGTTGCAAGAGGCAGTGATAAGTTTTTGTCATTTCTGCTTCCTTTCCAACTGTTCTCCTAGAATGCAGATACAATGGGTTGTTTTCATAGGCTGTGACTGGGGTTGTGTACTGCATAATTGAAGCATAGGTCTCTGTTTATTTTCAAGTGGTAAAAATTCTAGAACTAGTGGGATATGCTGACATTATTTGAATCTCTAAGCTATGAGGCAAGTTACACAACTGGATAATTGGTTTCCTAAAGGAATGGCATAGTAGCTATATAACAAGCTTGTACAAGCACACACACACGCATCACAAAGAAATGCTACAGAATTCCAGTCCCACTTTGTCCTCCCATAGCTCCAATATTATATTATATATAACTATCTGGCTATGCGAGCTCCATTCTGACTTCGTATTTCTGAAGGGCATCTGTAGTCCTAGTGCAGCACTTAGTGCTTGTTGGATGCTTGAGATAGAAAGCAGTCCCAGTTAGACCCTCATTTTGGAGGAAACAAAGGCCCCCAAACACCTGACTACTTGGCTGAGATCACAGCAGTGAGGACAGTGCATGCATAATAATCAAGAGACTTTTCAATTAAATCAAAGCATTTATCAAATGTCCCCTGTCAAACTTCTCAGTATCCCACACCACTTGGCTGTGTGAAAGACTGCTTTTAGTATGGCAAACACACTGAAGGAGATAAGACATTTGGCTGGGGCTTTCCTCCTTCTCATCTGCAAAGCACTTTTTGTATTGATCCAATAGTGTGACCAAATACCAGCATTCAGGAATGACAGATGTCATGCCCAGGTGAAAATCAACCAGTTAAGAACACTGTTGCCTTGGACTTGACAGTGATTCTTTCACTTTCTGCTTTTGAATTAAGTTACACTAAAGTAGGAGGGACCCATTCCTGGTTCCCTTTTATGTAGTTTCAGGTTTGCTCAGGAATCCTTGGTGCTCTGTCCCATAGTGGTTTGCCTTGCCAGGAACGTAGAGAGTCAGGGATCAGCCTTCCCCTTCCAACAGCTCTGAAAGGCTGAGGTCTGCATGCACCACTGAGTCTCCTTTGGCTGCCATCCCCCACCCCCCTTTTTGTTTTCCATATCATTTGAAATTTGTCTTTTTCTACTAAAGGGGGAGGGGTGCAGTCCCAGAGAAAGCAGGGAAAGGCCATGCCGACTTATCCTTTGAAACTTTCCCAGCCCCAGCCCCATCCTCCCATCCCCCCACCCCCGCCGCTGCAGGTTCATGAGCTGAGACCTCCTGGATCCACAGATAGAGGCCTCAATTGCCACAGCACACCAACTGCACCAGTGTACAGCTGGGAAAACAAAGAATCCCTTTCTGAGGTCAATCAGCAATTCCAGGAGTTGACCCCGCCCCACAGGACAGCCCACTCTGCTGGGACAGCCATGTGCACTCAGGCCAGGCAGGACTTTGGCCTTCTGTGTGGTAGGGCTCCTCTCTCCCCTCCCCTCCCTGTGTGCCAGGCTTAGATATCCAGCAAATTCACAAAAGAGAGAAGCCTCTTCTGCACAGCAAGAGAAACCACCAGCAGTGCGAAGAGACAACCCACAATGTGGGAAAAAATCTTCACCTCCTCTTCCTCAGACAAAGATCTACTATCTCGAATCTATAAAGAACTTAAAAAGATCAGACCTCCCAAATTTAAAGACCCAATCAGAAAATGGGCATCTGAAATGAACAGACATTTCTCAGACAAAGAAGTAGAAATAGCAAATAAATACATGAAAAAATGTTCAACATCACTGGTCATTCGAGAGATGCCAATGAAAACGATGCTGAGATTCCACCTCACTCCAGAAAGAATGGCTGCTATCATGAAATCAACCAATAAGAAATGCTGGCAGGGCTGTGGGGAAAGAGGAACCCTGCTGCACTGCTGGTGGGAGTGTAGACTGGTGCAAGCACTGTGGAAATCAGTATGGAGATACCTCAAAGAACTAGGACTGGAAGTCCCATTTGACCCCGCTATTCCACTGCTGGGGATCTTCCCCAAAGAATTAAAAGAATCATACCACAGTGATATATGTGTGCCCATGTTCATAGCAGCACAGTTTGTGATAGCTAAAACTTGGAAACAGCCCAAATGCCCATCAACTGGAGACTGGATAAAGAAAATGTGTTTTTTTAATAAAATGGAGTACTACTCAGCCATAAAAAATGAGAAATTAGAGACATTTATAGCTAAGTGGATGCACATTGAGGCAATACTCTTAAGTGAAATAAATAGGACACACATGTGTAAATACCGAATAGTTTCTCTGGTGTGAGAAACTGAAAGTGTAAATAAGGACTAAAAGGTATAATAGGTAATGTGAAATAGGAAGAAAAGGGACAAAGGGGAAGGAAGTGGGAGGGCTAGGGGAAAGGATAGAAGGGAATGGGATTAATAGGAGAAAATGGAAAACTAGGAACAAAATCTTTGTAAATAGGGAGGACTGGAGGGGTTGAAGGGAGGGCTGGGCAAGGGTGAAAAATAAGAACCAAGAGAGACTATGTAAAGGTGCAAATATCCAATGATGAATGTCATTATATTGTATACCTAAAATGTACCAATGATTAGAATGAATAACTGATAATGCAAAATAGGAAGAAAAGGTCCAAATGGTTAAGGACAGTGGGAGGGACAGGGGAAAGGAAAGAAGGGAAAGGAAAAATGCTGAGAAATGGAAAAAATGGAAATAAAGTCTTTGTAAATAGGGAAGGGTGGAGGGGGTGAAGGGAGGGCTAGGAATGGGGAAAAAATAAGAACCAAGGTGCATTATGTAAAGGTACAATTCCCAATGAGAAATGTAATTGTGTTGTATACCTGCAATGTACCAATAAAAGAATTTAATAAAGAAAAAAAACAAAAGAGAGAAGCCTCTAGAAACTTGTGCATCCTACTACTAGAGACCTGGCAGCCAGCAATACAGCAGGAAGAAGCAGCAGAGGAGGACAAGAAAGAGGCAGAGCAGAGGGGGGAGCCACCAACACAACAGAATCCAATCAGCAAGTCACATGTCCTCCTGCCTCCTACCTTGTCACCAAGCCAAGTCAGGAGCAGTTGCCCCTTTCCCAAGCCAGCAGCCACAGTCTCATTGTGACCCTTAGTGGTCCGCTGAAGCAAATTTCCCTAAGCACACATGCATTGGAACTACCTGCGTATCTTCAAAAAAATACTGATGCCAGCTGCTGTTGCAGATCTTCTGATCTCACTGATTTGTCCTGCTAAGTATACCATGAGTTTTAAAGCTGATCTAATTTGCAACCAAGTTTGAGATCCACTGCAATATGGGCCAGGAAATTCCTAGGGCCCACGCCCACTGGTCTCAGAGGACATCATGACAAGAGGCGCTACTTCCCAGGGGAAAGACTGCATCACCTTTGGGGCAAATACCTACTATATTCCATGCCCTGTGCTTGTGCCTCCCTTCGTATTATCTAGCTTTTCCCAGCAAGGCGTTCTTGGAGTACCATTCCATAGGCAAAACAGTGCCTTGTGATTTAAGTGCTGTCTGACCCTAATGTTGTACACCTTTCTATTTTCAAGATGCTCTTCAGACAAAGGATGTTTCACAAGTACTAAGAGATGATGGTTTTCAAAAGCAAGCCATCACTGGGGGAGTTGAAGAGGAGGCAAAGATCTCAGGGCCTCATCCTATTCTAGTTGAACTAAAACAGTGTACAAGGGCTAATCACAAATATGATGTGTTTAAAATTTTTTTAAATAATTACAGTAAAAAGAAGTAATTACAGTAAAAGATACACTGCCATGAACCCCCGCACACACACACACAAAGTACTTTCCCTCACTTTGAACACATTTATCCCATCATTCTTTCCACTTTCTGAGCAGTTCTGGAAGCCCTTTTTCCTTTCGTTCCTTGGTATGATAAAAAAATTCAGTTAGTGCTGCTGCTGAGTACCATCCAAAGGAAGAACAGAGTCACAAAAACCTTCTGGTGTATCTTCATGAACATTAATCACTGGGTCTTGCACTGTACCGTGTGACTTCTGGCACTCTCTCAAAGTCAAAATAACCATGAAAGGTAAATGGTTTTGAATTGATTAAGAACATTGAGGCAGCCATGACAGTGCAATTAAAAGACACTCACAAAAAAGAGCTTCCAGAGCTGCTTCAAAAAGTGGCTAGAGCAATGGGCTAAGTTTCTGAGCAAGGGGAGTGTGTGGCAATGTGTCTTTTACTGTAATAAAATTTTTAAAATTTAAACATTCCAGGTATTTTTCAGTCATACCCCGTATACAATGTTGAGGTGCTAAATAAATGTATGATCATTTACAACATCCACAAACTTAGAAGCTGGTGTTTTTTTATGAACAGTGCAAAAGTCATATAAAGACATGGACTCATGAGCCAATTCAATCTTTTTCTCAAATGCTACTTCTGTTCTCCACTAGCTGTGAGACTTAGCAAATTATTCATCCTCCTGAGCCTCTGATTCCCTTTCTCCAGTATCTGCTCCACAGGTTTGTTTCAAGGGTAAAATGAGATGGTGCCAGTAAAGTACAAATAACAGTATCTTGGTCATTGGGACTTTTCTTTTTCTGGTGCTGGAGATCAAAGCCAGGGCCTGGCACATACAAGGCAACTGTTCTGCCACTGGGCTGCATACACAGCCTCCAATATAGTCTTTCACCATCATCAGCAGCAGCAGCAGCAGGAGGAGCAGCAGCATTATAGCACAGAGCTCAAGGGTATATGTTGAAAACCGTCATCAGCTTCTCAGCCTTATGAACAGACATATCTGAGGCTTGCCTGTATCCCTGTGTGTTTACTCCCCACATCTTAGATTTTGCCTAATTAGTTCCACTGATTCCTTCAATTATGATGGTTCTTTTCAATATACAGTAAAGAGAACGCACTGTGCTCTGGCTTCGACCCTGTGCAGCTACACTGAGAACTATTACCTGTAGGCAGCCCTGGAAATATCAACTCTGATGAGAACTTCTCAAAACCATCAAGTTTGTAAGATGCTTTTCTCTCCTGTCTTTTATATCTGGGCCTATGGATAATAATCTGAAGCTCAGGGGAGGAAGTCTGTGTTTCCAAATGTCACAGTTTGACTCTTTTTGTTGTTGTTGTTGTTGTTGTTGTTCAGGTCAATAATGACCTTAACTTGAGAACTTTTTATTAGATCATTGATACTTCTTAGAATTCCAAAGCCTTTCCAGACTAACGTCTTTGTATGGAGTCACTCTGTGATCCCACAGGGAAGCAGATCACTGCTGACAGCAGGGACAGAGCCTCTCTTGACCACATAGACACAGTGAAGCAGACGAAACCCTAGGTTGAGATTCTCCAAGCCTTGGTCCATGGCACTATTTTGCTTCCTACTTGCTTGGGGACCTTGGACAAACTACTCAGTTTCTTTATCTCTAAGGTGAGAAGTTCACATGGGTAGCTACTTACCAAAAAGTGTAATTGGTCTCATCTCCTGTATTGTCCCATCTCATGGTAATGATTTAGTCTGCTTGTGCTGTTGAATAAACAATTATAATTTGATTCTGTTCTTGTGTAGGATAACTCAGATCACATGCCTCCTCTATTTCTGGCCACAGTAATACACTGCAGGAAAAAAATACATGTTTTTTTTATGTTGTTGTTTTGGGGGGCTTTTTGTTTTGTTTTGTTTTGCTTTTTTGGTACTGGGGATCGAACTCAGGACCTTGCACTTGTAAGGAGGGGGCAGCACCACTGAGCTAAATCCCTGGCCAAATAAATACATGTTTTAAGTAGCCCATTACATATATATTTCTCAAGAATTAACTCTTAGTTAACTTGTTTATTTATTCATCCAGAAATATTTATGGAATGCTACACAGCCAGGAAGTGTGCTGCAGTCAGGAATACAGTGATGAGCAAGACAGACACAACCATGTAGCACTTAAAGGCGAAAGAAAAGCCATTGCATACAGCCCAGCTTCTGGTGAGATAAATGCAAGGGAGAAGCTCCTGAAGAAAGTGACAGGAGACCCAGAGGAGAGAGGAGGGATGACCAGCAAGGTGAAAAAATAAAAAGGATGATGTCACATAAGAGAAAATGCATTTCAGGGAGTTCTAAATTTACAGCTATGGCCCCAGCTCACTGGGGTGTCTTACATATACATATATAAATTGAAAACTTAAGCTATAAACTGAGAAGAACTTGTTTATTTTCAAGCAATAAAGATTTATTTTCTGTGGAAAATGCTATGTACAGAGATTAGCCAAAGACTAAGAAGAAGGCCTAGAGAAAGACTTTTATGTAGAAACACAGCAGTGAGGAACAGCAAAGCCCTGCACATGTTGTTCTTCCCATGTTATAAACACTTCTCCTGATATATGTATGGACCAACTTAAGAAAGGTGCAGTTGGCTCTTATTTGACTTTGGATGATCAGAGCCTAATTCAGAGCTCAAAACTTAGGAGTTGTTCCCTTACTGATTGTCTAATTGGTTTGTTGATTGAGTGGATGAAATGAAGAAAGGAGGAAAGGAAGGAAGGAAGGAAAAGAGAAGGCAAGGGAGAGATTGAGAGAGGCAGGAAGGGAGGAAGGCAGGGAGGGAGGAAAAATTGGATATATGGTTGGCTGGTGGGATGGATGGATGGATGGTTGGGAGAGGGGATGTAAAATGTCTAAAGCTGTATCTGATACATACATACAAGTTGTACATATGTACTTCTCTTGTCCTATAGCATAAAAATACCTTATTTTCATATATACTGAAACATTTGTGTCTATAAATTCCCACTTATTTAATCTATGTTAAGACTGTGTGTAGATCAGTATTTCTCTGAGAAAAAAATACACCTAATATTTCACCTATGTTTCATCTATACAAAGAAACCAAAATAAGAGTGCATTCTGCATATAACTCACCACCATGAGTAATAACAGCTGAGCACTAACCCTTTAGGAAAAACAAACAAATAAGGATTTGGCATAAACTGGAATAAATAGAAGTTCGGTTCCTCAAGGATATTATCTTTTTCACTTTGGGAGTAAAACGGACTCTACAGATTGTCACCAAAACGTGCTTTGGATACTATTGTTGAATAACAAACCAACTGAAAGCTTGGTGAAAAATATCTCCCTTGCATTAGGGTGACAGGTTCTGTTGGGTCAGAAATTAGGACAGGGTACATTAGGGAAGGCTTGCCTCTACTTCATCTCTTTGGAGCCTTAATGGGGCACTTGACAGGTGGAGTCTAAAATCATCATCAGAAGGCTCCTGCATTCATGTATGTGGTGCTGGGCTGAGCTGACCTGTACACTGAACTCAGCTGGGCTAACAGTGCCTGGCGAAGATGACTCCATATGACCTGTGCTTCCCCCAAACATGGCAGCCCTGGGACAGCTGAAATCCTAGCATGACCATGCATGCTACAAGTTCAAGGCTTCCAATGGATGAAGCAGACCTTCATTGCTTTTTATGATCAGTTTTTATTACCTCCATCGACTTCTATTGGTGGGAGTAGTTACAAGTCTATCCAGGTTTCCAAGGAGAAGGCATAAACTGCATGTCCTGATAGAAGGCATGTCAGGGTTCTACAGTCATTGTCAAAACCCCACACTCCTAGTTCTTAGAATCTGAACCTAAGAATCCCAACAGAAGGTAATCTCCTCTTAATTAATCTCATCACTCTTAGGGCAATATTTTCATTGACATACGTCATTAGTTTTTCATGAGGAATTGGGTCTCCAGCCTCCTGTTATGCCTGGAGTATGCAGGCAACATGATGGCAAGAAAACTCTACCCTCCTTTCATGAATGCAGTGCTCGTCTTCAGTTATGCCAGTGTTGAGAGGGGAACCTTCAGGGTTGGCTGGACCAGTGGCGGGGAGCCTTCCTAATGTGGCAGCAGAATTGTGTTAGGAAGCAGACCAAAGCATCAATCAAGAGGAACAGCCAGCAGCTGGGCACATGCCCATGCCCAACACTGTGACCCACACTAAGCTCCCACTCACCCCACTATCACTTCTTCTCCTGAGGATCTTGGCTATTGGCCTTAGTCCTTTTGCCAGAGTGCAACAGTTTTCTAGAAAAACTCAGGGCCAGGAGAAAAAGAGAAGTTTCCTGTGGGTTCAGGTTTTTTAAGACATGTAGTTTCGGCTGAAGGACTCCTGTGAGATACTCTTTCTCAGCCCTATCAGAGGGCTTTAGAAAAGAAGGTGGATGGATGCCAAGACTTTATATTCACTGGCAACAGGGAGCTGATGAGGTCACAATGTGGAACACCAGCTCCCTATGACACCCTGGGCTCTGTTCAACATTACATAGCAACTCAGAAGAACCTACAAGAACCAACCAGTGGTGCATCCAGCTTTTGTTAGTGTGCACACATGGACAAGGGTGCCAAAGATGGTGCATCCTGCCTGCCCTGGCTGGAACTGATATGCCTGAAGTGGGCAGGAATGCTGTTTACCTTGACTCCTGTCCCCTTGTCCACTGGCTCCAAATGAATCACTTTGTATGGGAAAAAGAATGGTAACAACCATCTCTACTCCTTGCAGTCATCCAGAGCCAATTGGCAGAACCAGTAGCAGTCTTGTAAAGTGTGCCCTGTTAGGGATACTGCAGAACTATTAGCTAAGCTCAGTAATAATAAGCATTAATTCACCATTGTCTTAGAAACTATGTGTGTTACTTGTTTTAATCAACACAACAATCCAGAACTATCAAGTTTACCGAACAACTGAACTGCTAAATATTCATTGACTTTATATATATATATATATAGTTACAGATAAGTCTGGAGAATGGTGGAAGTTCTAAACAGTGATATAAATAGTGATTCTCCAAGAAAGGGATATATATATGAGAGAATTTTTCCAATCTTACTTAATATCAGCTGGGGCTAACTTGATATTTTAAGGAACAAATTTGAAGCTTTAGTGGATGGTATAGGTCAGCACAAAATACAGTGTCCTGTGAGTGATGTAAGAAGCATTTGGACTGAGCATGATGGTGGATCCCTGTAATCCTAGCACTCGGGAGCCTGAATCAGGAGGAGTGCCACAAATTCGAGGCCAACCTAGACTACATAGTGAGTTCAAAGCCTGCCTGAACTACATCATGAGACCTTGTCTCAAAAAACCAAAATAAATAAATAGCATTTGGAATAGGTAGAGTCTAAATCATCACGTGGGACTTTGTATGTCTGTCTTTGAAAGTGCTACTCATAGTATACCTAGAATGGTTGGTGACTCCTGAAAGTAGCTATGGCTTTTTCTTGGAAATCTGTCATCTACTCCAGAACTCTCTCAAGAAGCATGTGATGATACGAAGAGCTCCATCTGCTTCCAACATGAGTCATATGTGCAAGGTAGGAAGCTGGGTGAGAACACTGAGCCTACTGAGATGTTCCCAGGTTGCCCTGCTGCTGTGAGCCACCTGCTCCAAGAGTGTGGGAGGCCCTTTCCTGAGCCCAGGACCAAAGCCTCCGCCATGTTGACATCCCCACAACCCATAAGCTATACCTTTACCCTTCATTCTGTTTGTTTTTCTAAATTTGCATCTTAAAAAACACATCCTTCTTGCCTTTTCTCCTGAAAGCAACAGAATATATTAGGACACAGCCTGCTTTTTCAGCATTCATACATCTTTACTTCAACTTCTTGTTCATTCCACCAAATGCTCTGAAGAATTACCATTAATGATTAAAATACTTCCAGATCTTCTTAGCTCTCTTGTGGTTTCAATCAAATTAAAATGACTGTAGGAATTGTGGCAGGTCAGAATGGAATTTTTTTTAACCTCACATGAAGTAAATACAATCTTAAACTCAACTTTCTAAGACTGAGCCTTACTTTGAAAACATCACCTATGTAATCCTGAAAGTTTATTAACTGAATTATATATATATACATACATACATACACACACATATACATATGTGAAATAGTGCCAGGTGTAGGTCTGAGCCATATCCAACTGAAAACTTAATTGCATCTTTAATCTTCTGAGGCATCTACTGTTATTATCCACTTTCACATTTGAGAAAATAGGTAAAAAGTGGTCAAATAACTTGACACAATGTTACCTACCTGGAAAGAAGTTTTGAAGTTGGAATTTAAACATAGCAGGCCTAGCTCCAGAGTCTTCATTGTTAAAAAAAAAAATTCCTAGCAAGCAAAACCTTTCACCATTTTTAGAGATTAATTGTCATTTCTCTGACCATGCATTTGATAAACACTCATAATTTTCACCTGCAATAGCCAATCACATTATGTTAACTTTCTTAACTTACTCTTCAGGGCATTGAAAATCTTTTGCTATGGGTAAAAATTTTAAAATGGAACTATAAGACTGAAGTAAAAAAAAATTGCTATAAAACTTTTGAGTTGTTTAAAATGCCTTCATCCCAAATGATTATTGAAATACTATAAAAACTAAAATCCTCCTGGCTATATTATACATATTTAGGTGTAAATTTCTGGGTCTGGACAAGTTTATTTGTGGAGAATCTATTGTTATATAAACATGATAATACTTATTCTTTTTTTTCCTGACTTATAATAATACTACTACTACTAATGTATATTATTAAAGCATCATGGTACAGTATTTTTATTTTAAAACATTTAGTCCCTTTGGCTCAAGGTGATTTAATCTAAATTTTGTTTTTGCATGAAATAGTGACAGATTTGTGCTTTTTGTTAAGATTGTTAATTTCTGTCAGTACGGGCTGTAAAATAGCATGTTTTAGGCCTCATAGAGAGTAAATCCTTCCCTAGTACCTGCTAGATTAAGTGTTTTCACATCCCAAAATGCTACTTCACTGCTTGTTTTGTACATCTCAGAGTTTCTGTAAAAAAATAATCCAGCTGTGAGATTCACACACAAAAGACTCTTAATACTTTAGATTTATCCACTTTCTAGGGGTTTTTTACAACTTACCTCATTTTTTTCCTAAGGTAAAACGATGCTGAGCTCCTAGTACAAATGCAGAACAAAACTGATGAACACTTGGAAAATACATTTTTGTTTCTCTGTGGCAAATTTTGCTTTTCACCTTCATTCCTATTATAAAAGTATTATAATCAAAGGAGTTTTAAAAGACAAAGAAAATACAGTCATTGGTCTATTTCCTAATAGTGATTTCCTATACATTTGGGCTTTTAAAAATATATCTGTAAGCACAGAAATTTTGTACCCTGCCCTTTTAACAAAGCATATTATAGCCAAGTACACTCTTCATAAACATTGTTTTGATTGTTGCATGAGTGTCACTTAGCTATTTCATAATGTTAGGATGTGCACAGTGTATTTCTCTTTTAAATTGCAAATAATGTTGCTATGAATACCTTTCTGTATTTAGGATCATTTCCTTAGGATAGAGTCTTGGAAATTGAATTACTGAATTTTAAAGTATATTAGTATTTTCAAACTCTAGATACACATGGCCAAATGACTTTTAAGATGATTTTAACAAATGTGCTTTGTCTGGTAATTTCCTGCCTATGTTCTACATGCTTTTTAGTCTTTCTCCCTCTCCATCTCCCTCTTTCTGTATCCTATTGAACTGGTGCAGTCTGGGACATCATGGATACTGAGCAGACCTGTTACGTGGTAGAATATGGTGGCTCTTCAGCCTCAGGACTTGGCTTTTTGACCTAAGTATGCAGCTAATTGGCTGTGAGAACCTGGGAAAGTCCTAGGAGATTGGGCTAGAACAGACATATGCATTTATTGATAAACATTTCTTGAGTGCTTTCAGTGGTTCTTGGTACAAAAGAGTTCAGAAAATGTGAATTCAGTGTCCTTTCTCAGGATATTATACCCACTGGAGGACATAAATGTGGAGGCAGAATCACATGAAGCTTGAGTGTGAATTCTAGAAGCAGCTGGTTCTGTGTTCAAGTCCTACTTCTTACAGCTCCATTTCCTCATATATAAAATGAGATAATAATACCTATACCATATGTCTGCAGGTTAACAGTTAATGTGCCTGGCACAATATGTACTTAGTAGTTGTCAGGTGTTTGTTTTGTTTTGTTTTGTTACTGACATGATTGTAAAACATGCTATGTTTTACATGTAGGGCCCCTGTGTGCAGAGACATAGCCTCAGGAAAGAGCATCTTGTATTCAAATGGGTCCTGAGCACTGAGCACTGAGAAAATGTGGGAAAGTAGGAAGAGGCACAGCCTGTGTAGTAGGTCAAGTCACAGGGAGGTAGAGCTTAGGGGTCCATGATGCTTGGGAGATAGAGCCCGCTAAGAGTTCACACCAGCTGGGGCTTGCATAGTTTGAACTTTCCACCCGCACCAGGGCAGAGGCTGTGCTGGCCCTCTTACTGACCTGAAAGCTCTCCTAGCAGACACCACAGAGGGAACTAGACTGTATTTTAAGAGGTGAAGTTTCATGGTGAGCACAGAAAGTCCCAGTAGATTTCTTCCACTCATAAAAGGAAAAACAGTCTCTCTGGATTCGCTCTCATCACCCCTTTTCCCTCTAACTCTGCTCTGGAGAGCGCACCGCAGTCCTGCAACCCTACTCTCTCTCCCCTACTGTCTCCCTAGAGCACCTTCAGTCAGGTTTTCTTCCCTTCTCTTGTCAAGGTGATGGCTGATGGCTCACTTTCATGTGGCCAAATCTCATTGTTCTTTCTCAGCCCCTTTTAAATGCAACCTATCAGCCACATTAGCATATTTGGTCCTGTTTCCAATTGTTTTCTAGGATATCAGTCCCCCCCCCCCCCGCCTTCCTTCCATGTTTCCTGGCCTCTTAATAGTTAACTCAGTCCTGGGGCTTCTGTTGTTCTCCACCTTCATGTGCTGTCTTCCTCTCATTTCCACCTGCCAGGGAAAATTCCCAGGAGTAGATCTCCAGCACCTCCTCTCCCTGGAGCTCCAAGGCTGTGTGTCCAACTGTCTGCTCCATGTTAGTATATCTGAACCAGAGTGCCTGGCCTTTCCCCTCACTCGGGCCCCTCCCTCAGTCCTCTTGATCTTCTGCAATGGGAACATCATACTGTTGCTTGGGCTCAGACCTGCACTGCGATCCTGGGCTTCTCCCGTCCTTGTGCACTTCGTAGCCAATCCTCCAGTTTAGGAATCTTAGAGAGTCTGCCTCCAAATGACATCCAGACTGGGATCACTTCTCACCACCTCCACTGTTCCTCCTTGGTCCAGGCCACTGTCCTCTTTCTCCTGGGGCTTCTGCAGTCGCCACTTGTCTTTGACTGTTCTTCCTGCTCCCACCCCTCCTGTTACGGTCCTCAGCACAGCAAGCAGAGCATACGTCTTTAAAGCTGCTTAGATCACATCACAACTCTGTTCAGAACACTGCACTGGCTGGCTGCTCACACCACTCTGAGTTATAGTGGAAACCTCTCTCCCACTCTCCTCCTAATATAAGCACTCTTACCATG